AGATCGGTGGCGTGCAGGTTTTTTTTATTTGGTAAAATTTTCAATAATATGGTCTATGTTTAGTTTACAACTTAAAAAAATAAAATAAAACTTGGGGCGCCTGGGTGGCTCAGTCGGTTGAGCGTCTGACTTTGGCTCAGGTCATGATCTCGGTGTCTGTGAGTTCGAGCCTCGCGTCGGGCTCTCTACTGACAACTCAGAGCCTGGAGCCTACTTCGGATTCTGTGTCTCTCTCTCTGCCCCTCCCCGGCTCATGCTGTCTCTCTCTTTCTGTCAAAAACAAACGTTAAAAAAATTTTTTTTAATAAAACTTAAAAATAAGGCGTGCACATTGGTTGCCGGGCGCATCTTAAATCTTCTTTTTGGCCTTTGAACCAAAGAATTTTCCAAAAATATGAGGATGCTTTCTGAAAACTAGCAAAGATTGTAATTATAACACGGACAGCTTGCTTAATTTTCTAGTCTGTTGGGGGTCTCTGTCTTATGGTTTGTGGTCATTGTCACCTTGCGTTTCCTGAGAACTCAGAAGTGCCAAGTATGTGTGTGAGGATCTTGGAAATTTACCTATCATTTGGTTGAGGAATTTAAGATCCAAAACAGGCAAAGTTTTAATCGGGAATAAGACAAGGGCTGGAACTGGGGCATCAAAAGAAGCCAGCAGAGAAGGGTCACGCTTACCCAGAAATTGTGTAAATGTCCATATTAATCATAGAGCGAAGACTTCGAAGTTTTGGTAGTAAAGACAACTAGTGAAGGAAAACATTCGTTTCTTTACTATTTCTACCAGAAAACCTTTGAGGAGATAATATTTTAGAAGAGCCCAGAACATTTGAGCTGAAGCCTGAATAGCCTGTTTTAAAATAAATATTTGTTCTAAGACCCAAGCAAAATATTGCTATCATAGATCTGAACTTATAGAATAAAGAATAAAGTTGAAAAAATGTTTAACTATAATTATTAACTTTTTCTTATTCAGAGTAGTTACAGTAGTCAAAATATTAAAGTTTAACATTACAGACAGGAACAATAGTCTAGAAGCTTTGTCATCTGTTCTCTGGCTCCTGCCATCACCATGCAGCACCTTTGCTCTGCTTAAGCACCGGTTTCCTCCTGAAGTTGTTGGTGGAACAAGACCTATTTAGGTACACAATGTATTATAATATGTATGTACTATGTGTTTCATAGTCTGGTTGGAGTTTTTTTTTTTAATATCTGGATGGAAGATGACTTCTGGTGAATGATCGTGCATGAATCTGTTTTTAATTAATCTTCATTGGGTCTGAAGAATTCCCAAATACGACTGCTGATGTAAAGGCTTAAATGGATTTAGATCCTGCAAGTTAAACAGAATTCTTAAAGATTATTTTTAGTGCTCTGAATGCTAGAAAGGATAGAAAGACTCTAAGTAGGTCCAAGAAACCTAAAAGCAAAGGGCCTTGTTCTCCTCTTAACTCCATGTCAGAAAACAGCTGCATGATTCATTAGGCAAACCAGGTTAGAAACAGCCTTATAAAGGAGAATCCTGGCCTGAGGGTGACCCAGATGCCACAGAAAGACTTCCATGATCCCCTCTGACTCCTATCCCCTGCCCCCCAAGTTTGGCATAATAATTTTTTTTAATTTTTTTTAATATTTTTATTTATTTTTGAGACAGAGAGAGACAGAGCATGAACAGGGGAGGGGCAGAGAGAGAGGGGGACACAGAATCCGAAGCAGGCTCCAGGCTCTGAGCTGTCAGCACAGAGCCCGATGCGGGGCTCAAACCCACGAACCGTGAGATCATGACCTGAGCCGAAGTCAGACACTTAACCAACTGAGCCACCCAGGCGCCCCTGGCATAAGAATATTAAAAAAAGCCATTGGATCCAAAGGGGCCAAATGGATGTGCAAGAGACAAATCTTAGCAACAACCTGTGGGTACTAACAACTGTACTAACAATGCAGCTAAGACAGTGAAGTTCTGGTATACAAAAGCTGAAGGAGCAGAGGAGTTAAAAAGTATTCAAGCCCCCTGGAAATTAGGTCTGCTCCAGAAAATTATGGT